ACTCTTGTGGGACACTCTTGTGGGACACTCTTGTGGGACACTCTTGTAGGAAACTCTTGTGGGACACTCTTGTAGGACACTCTTGTGGGACACTCTTGTAGGGCACTCTTTTGGGACACTCTTGTGGGACACTCTTGTAGGAAACTCTTGTGGGACACTCTTGTGACACACTCCTGTGGGACACTCTTGTGGGATACTCTTGTGGGACACACTCTTGTGGGACACTGTTGCGGGACACTCTTGTGGGACACTCTTAAGGGACACTCTTGCGGGACACTCTTGCGGGACACTCTTGTGGGACACTCCTGTGGGACACTCATTTGGGACACTCTTGCGGGACACTCTTGTGGGACACTCTTGTAGGACACTCTTGTGGGACACTCTTAACTCTTGTGAGACACTCTTGTGGGACATGGTTGCGGGACACTCTTGTGGGACACTCTTGTGAGACACTCTTACGGGACACTCTTGTAGGACACTCTTGTGGGACACTCTTGTAGGACACTCTTGTGGGACACTCTTACGGGACACTCTTGTTGCACACTCTTGTAGGACACTCTTGTGGGACACCCTTGTGGGGCACTCTTGTGGGACACTCTTGTGGGACACTCATACGGGACACTCTTGTGGGACAGTCTTGTAGGACACTCTTGTGGGACATGCGGGACTCTCTTGTGGGACACTCTTGTGGGACACTCATGGGGGACACTCTTGTGGGACACTCTTGTGGGAGACTGTTGTAGGACACTCTTGTGGGACACTCCTGTAGGACACTCTTGTGGGACACTCTTGTGGGACACTCTTGTGGGGCACTGTTGTAGGAAGCTCTTGTGGGACACTCTTGTAGGACAGTCTGAGCGTTTCGTACGAGACTTCCTCCAAAAGTCACACGCCAAGTCTCCAAAACGAGCGTTTCGTACGAGACTTCCTCAAAAACTCACATGTCAATGTCTGCAAAACGAACGTTTCGCACGAGACTTCCTCCAAAAGTCCAGCGGAAACACCCATCGGAGCACACACATCACGCAGCCCTGCCAAGCAGTTTCGCGATTCCAGCCCCTCGAAACGACACCCGCTCAAACGCCAAGTCACTTGCAAAAGCTTCCCCCAATGGCAGCGCCTTAGCGCTCTACCGCGAACGGTTGCGGACGGTTGCGGACGGTTGCGAACATAGAAACAACGGGTCGCGAACAAGGCTCTACCCCCAGACCCCCAAAGAGTTAAACGAGAACCCTTCGCTACGCATTCGGGAAAAAGATGATGACAATGCCCATTAATCACCCAATCAATACCACAATCAATTCTATCACATGTCTTCCATAAGCCAAGTCTTCCATACTTCGGGACCAGCTGGACCTCAAAGCCGATGCAAAGCCGCGGGAGTCATGATGTGTCATGGCAGGAATGTAGGAAGCGCTGAAGTCTTCAACTTGGAGTTGGCCCCCTGTACGCCAACAGCGTCTTTTTTTCAACATTTGAAGAAGGTGGTTGTGACTTCGTGTTTGTGAGCTGGTGGTTGCCTAGACCATCCCGATACCAATCCGGATCTTTCGGCTTCTTTCCTGTTTCCCAAACGCGTAGCGAAGAGTTCTCGTTTAACTCTGGGGTTCTGGGGGTAGACTCTTGTTTGCGACTCGTGGTCGTAGTGTTCGCAACCGTTGTCAACCGTTCGCAGTGTTGCGCTATGGCGCTGCCATTGGGGGAAGCTTTTGATGGAAGCATGACGTGTCAGATTCGTGTGAAATAGCGAGGAAATGTGTGGAAACGCAACATGTTGAAGTGTCGAGGATGATTTCACTGCGCAGGCGCAGCGTTTTGCGAGATCGCTTTTCTTCGCTGTCAGATTGGGATTGGCGTTTAGAGGGTGGTGTTTTTGGGGTGTTGGGCGCGGCTGTGACAGGGATTTGCGTTTTAGACCGTTGCTTCAAACCAAGAGCGCTGAGGTTCGGGTCCTTGGCAATCTCCGAGTGTGGATGTTTGGCGACCACCATTGCAGCCGGGAGCAACAGCAGCGAGGGTCCTGGGCTCAGAAGGGCCGTTGCGTGGTCGTTTGAAGAATCCATATCACCCACTTCCTGTGCTTAAAGAATTCGAATTCATGGAAGTGGAGCTCACCTCCAAGGTGCGACGTCTCCATTTCTATCATTTCGAGTGAATGTTGTATGTTCAGCACGGGGGGATCCATTTTTGTCGGGCCAGGGTAGGTAAAAACCCAAGAAACACATCAGGCGGATAGATTTTTTTTGTCTCGTGGGCTAAGTAGGGTTGCCTCCGGGCTGATTGACTCTACTCCAGGGGTTCTACTTTGGTTCACCCAAAACTGTTCGCAGTTACCACTTGAGCTGGATGGCATGCAGTTAAGATTTGGATCATGCTGAGGTGGGTCAGTAGACGTTTTTTTAGTTTTCGATCGTAAATCTAGCCATCCCACCAGTTGTCGCTGGGCTGAAGAACGCATCGTCAACCCTTAGCACCTTATGAACAACAGTTCATGGTGTCTCAAATCCCAAGTGCTGTTTGTTTGATCTCTTTTAAAGTGGGTGCGGTTGCCCAGAAGGCACTTACTTACATTAGCGGCATTAGTTTTGGGTTGACAAGTTTCGGGACGGTTCAAGCCCCATCCGCAGATGTATGTCGCCAGCACACAGAGGTTTGTTTTTGGCCGCAAGCGCTTGAACAAGTTTGGGTCATCCATGTGTGTTTTGTGTGATGTGGCATGTCCAGCATGCTGGAGTGTACTTTGTTTGGCGAGGCCTGTTCCAGTGCCAGCCATGCCCGGTGGGTCTCGAGTGTCCGTTGTCGTCAAGCATTGAGAGCCTGGTCTGAAATCATGAATCTGTCCTTTTCGACTTTTGCGCAAGTGCCTCATGGAAATGAGATGAACAGCTTTTGGAGAGCAATCGAGTTGTTTTGTTCTTCCCCCCTCAGTGGCTCTCCTTCCTTCATGGGGGTTCTTTTGCTACAAGATGGTCAGCCCCTGTATAGATTGCTGCCACATAAAAGAAAAACCAACCATTTGACACTCTTACAGCTTTTGCATGCTCATATTTGGGGGTGTTCCTTTTCCGTTTCGAGAATCATCTGGCGACTGGAGGGCCAATCCCTTGGATGTTGATCTTCATTTGTTCATTTTGGAGGCGACTGGCCGGAATGCTCGGTCTTTAGCTTCTTGTTCCTAATAGCTTCTTGTTACTACTAGTAAGGCACCTGTTACTACTAGCGTGGCACTTGTTCCTAGTAGCGAACCTTGTTCCTGCTCTTTCCGCTTTTTCTCGAGGACTTTGCAACGCCAAGAAGCCGCCCTGGGAGCCGAATACGTTCCACGCGTGTTGGAAGGATACTTTGCGGATCCCACCGACCCTTTGGTGATTTACAAGTGTTCTTTGGCTGCAGAGGTTGGGTTTTGAGGCTTCCAACGGGGCCGAAAAGACAGACGATTTCAATTACCGGCAGCCTATGTTTCCTTTGGCCGGCTTTTCCGACTGCACAGGTCAACCAAGCACATATTGCCCCGGTGGCAAGCCAGGAGAATGTGCTGGGGGCCTTTCAGGCAAACCCTGTTCCACGTGCTCTCATGGGCAAACGTGGACTGGAGAAAAGTGTGACGACTGTCGAGATGAGGCCATATTCATTTGGGCGCTCCCGAATTGCTTTAGCAGTTATTTCTTGGTGTTTGTGTTTGTTTAGCAGTTTTTTCTTAATGTGGTTTAAGAGTTCAACTTTTTTGTTGTCGATATGGCTCCCAATGGTTTTCACCTCTATGACTCATAGCTGACAGCAACCAGGCCGGGATCCTTCTACTGGGCACACTGCTCCTCTTCAGGGCCTACAACTTTGTAGATTCCAGAGCACTTGCAGAAGTCTCGCCGGTGCAGGCAGAGTGAAGAACCCTGTGGTTTTCTCCGTTCAAGCAGGGGGCCTTTGTTTATTTTTTGGGGTTCAAGGATGCTGGATGTCAATCAAGGTGTGGTTTCTCAGGTGTATCCTAGGGCCTAGGGGAGATTCTGAGACGGCAGGCCTGCATGATTGCAACGAGTATGACGATCAATGTGATCCAGATGATAGCAGTCTTTGGTTTGATGTCTGTGACTTGGACTCCGTTACTAGCATCGACCAGTTCAAGCCTGAGCTTTGCCTCTTGGCTGACGGTGACAAGCTCAAGTCTGGAGGGATCTCATTGTGCCGCTTCGCACTGAGGGCGGTTGGAGCGTTAGATTGTCATCGGAAGCAGTGGAGTAACCCATTTTACCTAGTAGTTTATTGTTTCTAATAGCTTCTTGTTACTACTAGTAAGGCACTTGTTGCTAGTAGCGATGCACTTGTTCCTAGTAGCTTATTGTTCCTAATAGCTTCTTGTTACTACTAGTAAGGCCCTTGCTCCTAGGTTCTGCTGGATTTGGATCAGCTCGGTGCCAGTTGCGTGACCGGTTCCGGCAACCTGGTGCGCTTTCTCGCTAGTGGCGCGCTCTTCCCAGCGGCGGCTCTCGCCATCCTGGGGCGCTGGGCGCTGTCTCGCTGCCTTGTGCGCTGGGCCCTGCGATGCAGATACTTCGAGGCGAGAAAAGGGAAAGCTTCGGAAAGGGCACCAAGATGCAGCAAGATGCAGTAAGTCTCTAAAGGCTACTAGGAGCAAGGACGCTACTAGGGGCTCCTAGCCTTACTACTAGGAGCAAGGACGCTACTAGGGGCTCCTGGCCTTACTACTAGGAGCAAGGACGCTACTAGGGGCTCCTGGCCTTACTAGGAGCAAGGACGCTACTAGGGGCTCCTGGCCTTACTAGGAGCAAGGACGTTGTCCATGTGGAGGGCCGGGCAGCAAATTCTTGATACCTAATAGCTTCTTGCTCCTAGTAGCGATGCCAGGAGCCCCTAGTAGCGTCCTTGTAGTAAGGCCAGGAGCCCCTAGTAGCTTCTTGTTCCTAACGACTCGACGCTCTTGATACATTCTTGCATTGGATCGCTGTTTTGGGTGCTTTGGATGTTTGGTGAGGTTGAAGTGATGGCTTTCAGTCCGCATCAAATAATGCAATGAGTTTTCACATTGAAGTTGGCTTCAGATACGTTAGATTGTCAGGCGCAAGAATGAATTTGATAATTTGATGTTCGATTCTAGTTCGAATCGATAAGTCCAGCAGACATTCGCAAGCTGTGAGAGCAAGCTTGTTGCACAGCTAACAGGGCCCGGCAGCATCTTTGACATAGGTCACCGAGTGGAAGCTGTACAAGACGGTGAATTTTGCGGGCACATTGACACAAGTGGGCTTTGCCACTCTGAGCGCTTGGTCATTGAAGCCGCTGATGTGCTATCGCCACCCCAATGGCTCCTACAGTCTGTTGAACTACCCAGGCGCCGTGTTTTTGCCTTTAGACCTTCAGACCGGTGATTCGTTCTTCCTTTACTCTTTTATTTTTCTATTCTTTGACCTTTTCTATTCTTCCTGTGTGTTCTGCGGATCTTTACACCAATTTGTGCTGTTCCCCGCGTAGCGAAGGGTTCTCGTTCAGGCTTTGGGCGTCTGGGAGAAGAGCTTGGTTTGCGTGACAGTGCATTCATGTTTGCAACCGACGGCCGCCGTTTTCTTTGGATGGAAGCGCGCAGTGCCAGATTCGTGTGAGATAGCACCGAATGAAATTATACTGTGCAAGTGTATTCGGGAGGTCAGCGCTTTGTGTCGACCTGCCATTGGGATTGGCGTTCTCTGTGTTTTGGAAGTGTGGCATATCTGGGGTGTGGTCCTTTTCATGGGGAGCCATTTGGCATGGGGATCTGGCATCGGTAGGCGTGTCGGCGGCTCCTTTGAGAGACCCACTGTGAAACTGTGGAGGGACGCTTGATGTGTTTGCTCTGATGGGATATCCTGCGCTTGGAGGCAGTCTCGGACGAAATGCTCGTTTTGAAGACTTGACGCTTCAGTTTTAGAGGAAGTCTCGTTGTTCGTCTTGAAGACTTGTCCCATCAGAATTTCTCCCCAAGAAGGTCTCGCCGGAGTGGTCCACAAAGTGTGCGACGAGAGTGCATCAAGAGGGCGCCCTACAAGATCCTATAAGAGCATCACACAAGAATGCCACCCCAGAATGTTTGATTAAGAGTAGAGTATCCTTTTGAAGTGTCGCCCTAGAATGTCCTTTAAAGGGTCTTTTCAAGAGGCAAGCGAGAGTGTCAAACAGTGTTGGTCCGCTGTGTTTACGTACGTGTGTGCCTTCGGGTTCGTCGTGAGTCCCCTTTTTAGACATATTCTTTGGACCTGCTTTTCCTTTTATTTGTTTTTCTTGTTTTGGTGTTTGTGTTGTTTTTTTTTGAATTTTCTTGTTTTTTTGTTTTCTTTTGTTTTTCTTTATTTTTTTAGCCCGCTTCCCCCCTCCCTACTTAATTAAGTAGGCGCCTACTTAACTAAATAAGGGTTTAAGTAGCTACTGCCGACAGGACGCAGGATAGCTCGCGCTTCTTCAAGGAAGCTCCCCCGGTAGGCATCTGGGCTCAAGGTCCTTTGCCTGACGCCCCCCCGCGAGGGCCGTGACCTGGCTGCTTGCCTCCTCGGCAAGGGTCAGGTGTCCACAGACCTCAAGGCCACCGCCAAGAGGATCGCCATGGACAACATGGACACGAAGAGAAGATGTGGGTCCCAGTCGAGAAATGGCTTCGTCGATTGGGCAACAATGGGTATGGCTGGGAGCCTTGCTGTCTCTGTTCGGGAGGCACTCCACGCCATTGCCTCTACTGGTGAGTGTAAAGCTGCAGATGCTACCTGGACACTCTTTGGAGAAGTGACCGAAGTGCTGAACCAGGACCCTCTGCAGGTTCATGTTCGTCGTGCTTCTATGTTGATGAATGAAGAGGATGTTGGGGATGTTTGGCCGTCTTTCGACCTGATTTGCCCTGTCAAGCATGAACGTGTTGACCTGTCAGTTGGAATGAAGATCGGAGTTCAGGTGCAGCCATGCCATCGCCAGCATGATGGGAAGATCATTGCTGATGCTTCTGTCCCACTATGGAACGTATCATCATTTGACAAACATCTAGCCTGGAACGTCAGTCATCTGTTTGCTGGTGCTTACGAGGGTTGGTTGCGTGCAATGTGGTGGCTGCAGCAGGCCAATCAGGGATTTTCTGTTTCCACGCATACATGTGTTGACTGGTGTCCGGAGGTCATGAAGACTTGGAGCTTTAACCATGGCCAGGAGGTCCATAAAGCCCCAATTGAGGTTGGCTTCAATCCACATGAGGCTTTCAATGGCATTTGCTCAGATGTCAGTGAACTCACGCTTCCAAGAGCAACCTTCAACAAGTCCAACTTGGTGATGACCCTCTCACCTCCGTGCCCGAGTTGGAGTCGAGGGGGGAGAAACTCAGGGCTGGCAACCGACGAAGGCTTCTGCTTTCTTGATGCGATTCATCATGTGGCCAAAGTTCGACCTGTACTTGCTCTCTTTGAGTGCTCTGATGGGATTGAGGCTCACCAACATTGGAGAGCTCTTTCAGCCGCAATGCAGTTGAGTGGATATAAAAAGCTCTGGTCACAAGATGTTGCTATCCATCAACTTACAGGGAACCATCGCAATAGGTGGCTTGCTGTATGGGCACGTCAGGATCTTGAATGTCACAAGCTCACGGAACGTATTGTATGCTCTGCTGTGAAGAGGGTTCCATGGGATGACCCCAAGCACACCTTTCACTTGCCACAGAGTATGATTGATGACCTGTGCCTACAACCAGAACAGCTCGAGATTTACGGTGACCGTCAGCTTCTTCCTCCGGGCAAAAGAGCACGAATGTCCGAAGATGCTTTGACACAGCAGGTATTGGAGCAACGTCTCCTTCAACAGGGAGACTATCTTCCTACGCTCTGTGCATCCTATACAGGTCAACACTTGTTGCAAAGGGATCACCTGGATCTGAAAGGGATCTTTGCCACCCTGGTTCGACATGGTGACAGCTTCCGATTTATCGATCCGTTCACATTTGTTGCGCTCTTTGGCACATCAGATTCCATTGGTCTCCCGACGGATTTGCGGAAAGCCTTCCACCAACTGGGGAATGCAATTTCTCAGCTTCATGCCCTGGTTGCGATACTTTTTGCAATTGAAGGAGTCTCTGGAGACACACATCCTAAGCTGGCTCTTGTGCAACAGTGTTGGGAAGATCGACTGACAGTTGACAAAGCATTTGTACGACAGTGGGGCGACATGTTCGTGCTTCAGCCATTTGCCGACTTTGTATCCAAGGCCCTTCCAAGTATTGTGACTTGGCAGCCCTGGCTCTCAAGCCGAACTTTGATCAGGTTTGGTGATGACCTGAGCTTGGTGCCGATGAATGTGTCTGCCAGCCGTCAAGCCATTTCCTTGCTCCTTGACAGGCTTGATCTTGAGGTCCACCATTCACCTTTGCTCCGGCTTTTCTATGATGGATGCTGTATACCTGCGGATAGTAAATGGGATGACCTTCCATGTGGGGCCGTTGACCTCAAACTGGGTACACACACTATGTGCTCCTTGCAGATTGTCAGAACCGGCACTGACCACATTGATGTTGACCCTATTCTCTCCCCTACTCAACCATGGGAAGATGATGAAGTTGACCCTGGGCTTGACCACTTAGTTGATGCTCAACAATGTGGATTCTTGCACGTCCTGGAGCACGTGTGCCAAGATGAAGAACCGCAGCACAAGGGCAGAGTCCTCTTTCTGCAACAAGATGGTAGCTTTGAATGGATCAAGGATGCAAACCTGGAGCGTTTAGGAAGTATCCCTACATTCCGATACCGAGATCGTGTGATTCATTTCTTCAAGGCGAACAAGGAAGCCTGTCAGCAGCTTCTGGGAATACATGTTGTGATGGCCATTCAGGGCACCTACGATCCGGTTGGCCCTAGCAAATGGGTTCTCCTTGCAGGCGGTCAGGACCTCCGATGGTGCAAAATATGCCAAGCTCAGAGAACTGTCACACCTCAACAATGCAATGAGATGCTTGGTCAAACATGTGATGTCACTCTGAGAAATCTGGTAAAGTGCCCAGTTGATCAACCCATGATGCTCATCAATGGTGATGTCTTATGGAGTGGCCCTTGTCCGCGTCCGGGGGTCCCATTGGCCTTTGGTGGCATGGATCGCCTCACGGACAACCCCAGCTGCAATATCAGGAATGATATTATGGAAGCTCGACTGCTGCAGTTCAACTTTGAACCAGGTGCATTGGCGCTGGATGAAATGGTCTTCCATTGTGATTTCCTGCAGATGCTGATGCCCTCGATTTGTTGGTGCCCTCCGGCCATATGGATCAACAATGAGTCGCAATTCCGGTTCCCGGTACAGCCCTCAGACCTCCAGCGCTGTTACCAACACTTTGTGGTACCAATCCTGGTTGTCTT